CGGGAGGGGGACTCGGGGGGTCCAGGCCACCAGGAGGTCCCCGGCCCCAAGGCAGAGCCTGGGGAAAGGGGCGCGATGGGCATAAGAGTTTTGGGGTGTTCCCCCCTCCGCCGGTTTGGTGGGTGTCGGGTCCCCAGTCCAGCCCCGCCGGCCGTGCGAAGGCACAAATCCGGGACGGAGGGAGGGGGAGGCCATAGGATGGGCTGAGGGAGTGAGGGGGTGGCGGGAGATGGCTGGGAAGGGGGTCCCTGCCCTGCCACGCTGTCATCCAGTGGTCCCTGGATGCTGCCCCTCTGCTGCCCCTCCCCACCAGCCCCATAGTCAGGGGAACCTGCCCGTTTCCTCTTTGCTAGAGGAAGAGGAAGAACTCAGCAGGGCCCCATCCATCCAACCTCACCATGGTGCACAGGTTGTCTCCAGACTGTTCACAGCCTTGGCATCGCTGGTGGGAAGTGGTTGTTCACTAGTTGCTCCAAGTAGGGTTTGCAGGTCACCCCTCCCTGCCAAGATGTGGTTTCAGAAGCTCTTAAAGACGCACCCCAGCGCTCACTCCTCTTCCTCTGTCCCTCCCCAAGTTCCTAGAAGATGACTTCCAGTTCATCCTTTGTGAGGGCTGCCAGCAGGAATCACCCAACCTCAAGCTCCTCACCTGCCTCCACACCTTTTGTCTCAGTTGCCTGAGCGAAAGCAACCCAATCAAGCAGTGCCCTTTGTGCCAGATAGCCATCCCGCAGGCCAGCGGCATCCCCTCCACAGACAACCTGCTCTTCACCAGCCTGCAGGCCAGGCTCAAGGTCTACAAGAAGATTGTTGATGGAGTTGACTTGTTTTGCGACAACTGCGAGACAGCCGGTGAGTTCTGGTGCTCTGAGTGCGAGGAGTTCCTCTGCACCAAGTGCTTCGAGGCCCACGAGCGCTACCTGAAGAGGGAGAGCCATGAAGCCAAGAGGGTGATGGACATCAGGGCAGCGTCTGCTAAGGACTTCCTTGAGGGCACTAGGAGGACCAGTAACTTCTCCTGCTCCAACCCAGCCCACAAGAACCAAACTGTAAGGTAGGTCTAAGGAGGTCTGTCCCCATCTGGGTGGTTTCTTGTCACAAATCTCTTTGGATTAGGCCATGATGGGTGTCCCTGTCCTGCTGCTGCCCTGATTGCCACCATGTCATGGAGAAGATGGGTGGGAAGTAGTGACAAGTGGGCTCTAGGGCATGGAAGGAGGGTTTGGATGAAGCTGGGTTTGAGTTGATGATGGGAGTGTGGAGACAAGTAGACCAAGGGAGAGGGGGTGTTCCTTGCTAGGTAAAGAGTTTGAGGTTGATGGAGCTCATCAAGAAGGTCTGTTGCTTCAGCTGCTCTAATGGACAGCAGAGAAGGGTGTGTTTTGCTGATGGTGCTAGACCAGCTTGGAGAGGATTTTGGGGAACAGCATGGCTGCAGTGCAGGACAAGGTTTAAATGCCCTCAGAGGAACATCAAGTGAGAGGGGAAGGGGCTGGAGCATCCATGGAAGCCAGCACTGATGCTAGCCACAATGACCCAGATGCAGCCCTTGCCTCACTATGTCCCTAACCCACCACTTGTCAAGGCTACCAGGACTTATGTGAGGAATGGATGATGATCTCCACTCCCCACTTCTTATATTCTTCTCTTAGGCATCTTAGGGAGATAAGATACTCTTTGGCCTTGTATTCTTATCCATAACCCCAGTAAGCACTCATGGAAGGTCATAGAGCTCATTTCTTCACTGCCCTCGCAGTGTGTGGATGAATGTCTACCATAACACTTGCACAGTCACCACAGTGACTTTAACCAGACCAGCAGATGAGCAGAGACCCTGTGGAGATAGTGGACCAACATATTTCTTTGCAATTGGGAGAGTATAAAACCAAATGCTTGGTCCAAACTTGGTGGTAACTTAAATTCAATGAATGAATAAATTTGCAATTTGCTAAATGAACGAATTGCAAATTGTATGGTCCAAATTACTGCTCTGCTTGTGCTTGGCCTCACAGCATCTACTGCAAGAAGTGCTGCAAGCCTGTGTGCTGCATCTGTGCGCTGCTGGACAGCCAGCACGCCCCCTTCTGCGACATCCACGGCGAGATCCAGCGCAGGCAGGAGGAGCTGGTCACCATGAGCCAGGGGCTGAAGGAGAAGAGAAGCAGCTTCGAGGCCACCTTCGAGGTGCTGCAGACTGAGGCCGCCCGGCTGGAGCAGGCGCAGCGGGAGATGCGGGAGCTGATCCGGCAGCACGTGGAGCAGCTGGTGCGTCTGATCCGGCGGGAGGAAGAGGAGCTGCTGGGGCTGGTGGAGGCGCGTCAGGAGCAGGGCCGGCAGGAGCTGGCGAGGGAGCTGCAGCGCGTGGAGGGGGTGCTGCGGCGGATGGAGGCGAGCGAGCGGCTGGTGGAGAAGGTGAACCTGTATGCCACAGAGCAGGAGGTGATGGACATGCAGCCCTTCATCAAGGACTCACTGGAGGAGCTGCAGCAGCTGCAGCCGCCGGTGGCTCGGGACCGAGCGCAGCCCGGGGACTTTGCTGAGTGCCGAGCCAGGCTGCAGGCGCTGGTGGAGCGTGTCACGGGGCACCCAGGTGAGGAGGCACTTGACCAGGTGGGTTGGGAAGGGCGGGACTGAAAGCAGAGTTGAAGGTTGTAATCCCCAGGTAAACCATATTCTCTACGGGTTTCAAGTCTCCTTCTACGTGGTGACTTGATGGACATGTGCCTCCAGCCTTTGCTCATGCAGTGGGCGCACTCCAGCCTCTCCCAGGGGCAGGATGCAGATGTTGCCTCCATCACTTCCAAAGCAACACTTGGCTCTTGCCCCTGTGGAGTACAACAGTCCCCCAAACCCAGTTCTACTGGGAGATAACATGGTGAATCACCTGGGATGGAGCCATGCCATGGGTTGAAGGACAAGGCAGGTGAGTGGCACCTGGAGGTGGGGCACGTGGAGCAGGGGCTTGCAGAGGCTGGTGTTGGTAGGGAGGAAGCAGGTGGAAGGGTTGGATCAACTTTGCATCCTCTCTGAGAAATGTTTGTGGGGGTGATATCTTCAGGTCCCTCAGGGGTCATAACCATCCTCCAGCCCTTGGTGTCCTGCCACCCACTGACCACTTCTGCTCATCAGATCTCCAGCCAGTCTGTCTATGTCCACAGCCATCTGGGTCAATTCCCCTTTTGGGTTGTTGATTACCGCCTCGGGATGGTGTATCTAACCAGAAAGGCGAAATGTTCCCTGGGAGCACTCCCTGACAGGGATGGCAAGAGGTCCACGACTGCTGCTGGATTTGCCCAGGTCTCCTCCCAGGTCTTCAGCAGCAGTGCTGTGGCAGAAATGCTGATGGTTTGGGAGTGGTGAAGGCGTTGGCATCTGTGGTGTGTGCAGGGATGGTGTGCTGGAGAATCCATGTTTGGTCAGAAGGTGGTAGCATTCTCCCAGAAAATGGGGGTAAAAAAGCAATGGAGGAAGAGACTTTGTGGAGTCTTCTGCTCCATTCCCCTGCTGCTGTCTTCAGACCTGGGCTATGACCAGTGTCCTCCTTGGCCTCTGTGGGTGTCTACCATTGAGCTCCCCAAGCTCATGGGCTATGGGCGGTCCACGGAAGAGCCCAGGGCTGATGTCCTGAATGGAGCTTGGGGTTTCATGGGTACAAGGTGTCTCCCCCCCAACTCCTCGCGTCTCCATTGCATGGTAGTCACTGCCCCTCCATTTTCCCTCTCCACCCCACTGAGGCAGTCTGGGAGAACCCTCTCAGCCCTGATTGTCCCCTCCTGCTCCCTTCAGCTCCTCTCCCTGCAACAGGTACCTCCACTCCCCAGCAAGACTCCCCGTCTAAAGACGAGACCACCCTGATCCCGGACCTTGAGCCTCCCAGGGAGCATTGTCAACCACCTGGAGGTCTCCCCGCGGGGCTGCCTGACCACCACCAGCCCTGTGCCCCCATGCTGGACCCAACCGGCGACAGAGGACACGTGTGTCCAGACCAGAGAGGGGATATGTCTTCCACCCGACCCACATCTCCAGCCCTTCTGATGCAGAGGGATGAAGAAGCAGATGAAGGCTTGGGGTCAGCCCATGGGGACACTGTGCCTCTTCCCAGGAGCATCCAGGACTCTCTGACCTTCCTGCAGGAAGATTTCAGTGGCTGGGCCAGGTCCAACGTGCAGCAGGTGGATGAGCTCCTGAAGATCAGTGATCAGCTCCTGAAAGCTCAGCGCAGGGCAAACAGGCACCTGGTGTCCATGACCCAGGAGATGCAGGCCATGTCCCGCTCCCTGGCCACCATCGCCTCTGCTGCAGGACCCTTGCTGCAGCCCATGGCCAGCCCAGGGGACTTCCCCACCACAGACGTGGACTGGCCATTGCTGCCCTCCAACGTGCTGGAGTTACTCCCTCACAGCAGCACCCCACAGAAGCATGAATTGCTGGTCCCAGTGGCTGCCACGGCCCCTTCCCCCAGCAGACACCTTCCTGCCACCCCCCCTGGCAGCTCAGCATTCTTGGAACCCCCTAGCCCAGCTGCCAAGGAGGAGTGCCCCAAGTCAAGGCACCCCACCAGGGGCAAGCGTGGTGGGAAGAGCAGCACCAGACTTCAGAAGCGGAGGAAGAAGTGACGGTCTGCAAACATTTGCCATGGACTGTAGCTGCTTGAAAAATCCTTTAAAAGGTCCTCATGGAGACCAGGCTCTCCATATCTTGCTATGCCAATAAATCCTCCTGGGATGAACAGTGCATTAGTGCATTAGTCTTTTGCTGGGTTTGGGAAGGCAGCATCTCCCCCACAAACAAGCCCTTGACGCTGCATGGCAATAACTTGCTGAGGAACAGCATGATCCTACTAATTTTCTTTTTTCTTTCCTTCCCAGCATGTGTGACCTCCTGGCTTTTGGGGCTGGGAGGGCTGGGAGGGCTGGGAGGGCAGCAAACCTGTATGGGAGAGCTGGAGGAAAGGCTTTAGTGCAAGGATGAGTGAATGAGCTGGCTGGTGGCCAGGCAGAATGGGCACCTCTCCACTCCAGCCTGCAAGCTCACTGCTGGAGTTCGGCCTCAGTGACCCTCCTGGAGCCACCTGCACCTTCTGCAGAGCCTTTTCTTGCTGCTCTCAGATGTCCCCAGCATTGCTCACCTTCCTCTCAGCTCAATATGTTTTTCTTGTTTCAGCAGCTTCTCCAGCTTCAGCCATGGAACACTCCCACCAGGTGAGAGTGGGCATTGCTCTGGGATTTTGCCTCATGGGGTTATCTGGCACAAATTTGGGGTTACCCCCTGCCCTTGCAAGGTTGCTTGAGTTCTGCCATTTGGTTGCTGTTTTCCAAGTTCTGTTTGGAAAGGGGAGATCAGCCAGGCTGGCTGGGCTTAGGGCTGCAGAGCCAGGGCAGACCTTGTCCCTTGAAGGCACATTTGTGGCTAAGATGCAACATCTCAGCATGAGACATGCTGCTGTGTGCACCGCAAAGAGCTCTTGTAGGCATGGTGGCTTGCAAGTCGTTTCCTGCCTGCACCCTGCCCTGCCCTCCCCTGCTGGCAGCGGGGAGATGCTGCGACTGATTGTGATGGATTTGGGGCCCCCGAACATGTCCCAGAAGAAGGGCAGAGCCCTACTCAAGCAGAAGTGGCCTTCAACAACATTGAAGGCAAGCTCCCTTCTGGTTTCCAGTCCCATAGTGCAGAAAGGACTTGTCTAGCATCAGACTGCCTGCCTTTGCTTGGGACAAAACAGCCATCACAGGACCAGGGCTGGGGACCCCCAGGCTGCCCCTCTGCAGAGCATGTCCCCAGCCACCCCAGCCTGGGATCAGAAGGGCTTAACCCTGCCTGCAAACCCTGCAGAGTCTGAGACCCTCAGGGCTGAGGCAAGAAGATAAAGATGATTTATTCCCCCAGCTCAGGAAGGGGAGGTTCCCATCTTCTCCTTTGCAGCTGTTAAGCCAAGCAGAAAGTTTTCCTGATGCTTGTCAGGCAGAGAGGGGACCTTAACCAAGGTGGTTGGAGTGACCACAGCCCAGGATAGCCAGGGCCTTCATGCCAGAAATGAGGATATGGTGGGTGACCCCAGAGCAGCAGAGACCATCTGGGCAAGCAGAGCACTTGTTTTGTGCAGGGACAAACCCATGTGGTCAAGCTTGTCCTTTGCCATTGGAGAACAGCCAAACATCTCCATCCCTGGCAACGCAGGGCTGCTGTCACTGGGCTCGTCTTTGCACACTTAGGTCTCCAACTCTACCCCTGCAAAGAGGAAGAAAGTCCAAAATGCAGAAGTCCTGACACTGCCAGTGAAGGTAGCAAAGGTTGAAGACAACGATGATGAGTGGAACCAGACAGTGCCGCAGCAGCCAAGCTGCTCGGACCAGCCTGGGACCAGCTGTTCGGTGTCCCCTATGACTCTCTCAAAGGAGGACAGCCTGCTGGAAGATGTGCCAGATGACAACGGTGGCCTGCATGACTCAGGTAAGCAGTGTCCAGAGCAGTGAAGCCACGGATAGACTTTATGGGGTGTAGGCGTTGAGGCAGGGCAGTTTGCAGCATCTCCATAAACCTTCCAGGAGGGTAGTTCTGTCCCAGCACATTGTCTTGTTCAAAGACAAGATGTGTGGTGGAGATTGATGGAGAACCAGATGTTTCTCCTTCAACTGCTTGCATACTGATGCAAGCATTTTGGTCCTCTCTCCCCTGTAGGATCCTGCCCAGTGTGTACTCTGTGGCTTGAGAGAGAATCAGTCCTTTTTCAGGTTGTCCCTGAGGGCAGGTTTTTTCCCTGCTTGCTCTACACCCACCTTGCTGGTTGTTCAGGGTCACTTTTGACAAAATTGGTGATGCTGATCAGGGGACCACTGGCCCTGGCACTTACTGCAGGGTTGGACAGCCCCACGTCTGAAAGGAGACATGTCTTTCCTACCTTCACAGATAGCGATATTCTCTGTTTGGACAGCTTTGAGGAGGACAGCACCGATGAGGAGTCAATGGTGAGTGCAGCTAAAGGGCTTTCAGTGCTTGGCCCTGCATTGCTCAGTGTTTAAGCCATGAAGGCTGGACCACGTGGTGCTTGCAGACCTTTGGGACCATCTCATAGAACCTGGCAGGGAACTTGTGAAATTCTTCCTGAGTGCCAAAATAAATCCCCCCTAGCTCTCCTCCACTTCTAGGGGGACTGGGTTGCCCAGCATCTTGGAGACCTTGGTAGATACCATCTTGGTGACTCCAGGGTGGTGAGCAGCCAAAACAAAGGCCAGCAAGAAGAGGCAGTCCAAAACCTCACCTTTCTGAGGCTATGGATGGATGGGGTTTTGTTGTTACTTTGCAACACCAGTCAATTCCCCTGACGGTCTGCACGACCAAAAGCTGGTGACTAGCTCTTCACTAGAGGTTTTAGAAACGGGCAGCTTCCCTTCCTTGCCTGCTGTTTGCTGGTTTAGGCCCTTGGCTCACAGCCAGAGGGGTGATGTCGATAGCCCCAATTTTTCTGTCACTTTTGAGCAGAAAGACAGTTGAGAAGGATCCAAGCGAGCCGTCCCATGTGGACGTGCATGGAGTGTGCATGTCACTATGTTTTGTGGTGCTGGAGAAGGCAAGTCTTCATGACCAAGCTTATTACAGCCTAAGTCCTCTAGCAGGCATTTTGAGTAGATCCCTGAGCTTTGGTAACATCCAGGACACACGAGTGCCCAGAGCTGCTGCCCTGGTTCTTCCTGTGATGTTTATTAAAAGCAAATGGTGTACTTTTCCAGGACTCCAGTGTGCTAGATGATTTCAGCAGCATCCTTGATGAGAGCACTGGTGAAGACTACCTGGGCCTTCCCGTCAGCAGCCAGAACACGCTGGACACGAGACAAGGATCCCTGGTCTTCTTTGACATGAAGATTTTGAGTAAGATCCTAAGTGAGGAGATCCCATGGTGCAGCCAGCTCCGATCCCCTCATCTGTCAGTGTCTCTTTTTTTGGGGGGGAAGTTCAGGCGTGTCCACCATGGCCTTGGCTGCGTAAGGGAGAAGACAATATCCTGAGCTCCCAAGAGGCCTTGCCTTTGAGTTTCAGGACATGTGGAGTCTGTAGGGCCATGGGGAGATTTCTCTGAGATTGTTCAGCCAGTTAACCAGCCCTTGTGCTGTTGTGTCAACATGGGCTCCCCTGCTTCTCCTTCCCATTGGCCAATCTCCCTTGGGTGAGGTGGATTTTTTTTTAAAGCTCCTCTCCTTAGTCCACTCACAAAAAGCTGTAAAGGCCCTCATATTCCTGGTGGGGGGAATGATCCCACTGCAGGAGGTGTTAGTGTTGATGGAAGGACACTCCTGAAGGACACGAGATGCTGGAAGCTGAAGGTGTGACTGAATGGTGAAGAAAGGTGAAATGGTAGATCAGTGCCCCAGCTATTGATGGTGAAGACTGTTGGAGGCTGAACAACTCAATCAATGTTTTATTTACTGAGTAAGTGACTAATTCTGCCTTTCCTCCCTCTCCAATACTCCTTTCCTTCCCCCTCCTCTTCTCTAGAAAATGAAACTATTCAGATGACAGTCGTAGATGGAGAGAAAGTATTCCCAGTCCTGATTCAGCCAGTGAAATATTTGTCCAGCTTGATGGCCAAAAAGGGTGTCTATGAGATCGGCCTGAGGAATCTGCTGTGCCACCTCAACACTGTCCACAAGCCCATCCTGGGTGGCTTTGGTCTCTGGTCACTCCCCTTTCCCACCCTCTTGGAAGCGTTGACGGTCATGAACAAGAAAGAGGAGTTCAGCTCTGTTGTGTATGGATTCCTGGACATCTTGCCCCTGATTAAGGAGGAGATCCCTGAGAGGGATAACTACAAGCTGAAGAATCTGGCCAACACTTACAACTGGAGGCACTTCGGTGACTTCAGTGCCATGGAGAACGCCAACATTGTGAAATACTTGTCCGAGATCCTGGACATCAACCTACTAAAGAAACCCAGGCAGATCCTCAGTCAAGCCAACCTGGAGTCCTTCATCTCCCTCCAGCCCTTGCTGGATGAGAAGTTCCTCACCAAGCCATCAGCCCAAACATTGGCCACCCACAACATCAGCCTCTCCAAACTCTGGTTCTGCTACCTGCACAACCCTGAGAACGGGCTCCAGAAAATGTGCCGTTTCATAAACACTTGCCGGCACAGCTCTGAAAAGAAAGTCCGAAACCTGAGCAAGGTCAAGGTCTACTTCCAGCGCCAGGAGCTGAAAGCCATAGGACTCCAGCAGGCAGCGATTTCCCAAGAGATGTAAAGAGAGAGGGAAACTGTTGAAAGATGCTGGTACTTCTCCAGTATTCATAATCCTCTCACCCACAGGGACTGAGTCCTGGAGCCAAATCCTGGCTCACATCAGTAGTTTTGCCTTCAATATTTCATGCCCACTCCTTCCTGGGGTGATGAGCCTGGGTCTCTGGGGTGTAACAGTCTTTTGCTGTCCTCTCTCATCTGAACTTGTGCTAAGGTGAAGAGGTGAGAACACCAGCTTGGCTGGGAGACGTCCTGCCTCGGATCCGACATCCTGCAGCCACACTGTGCCTTTGTCTCCCTTCTGGATGGACCAAGCCAGTTCTTGAAAGAAATCTTTCAAATCATTTCTGGTCTGGGTTTTATGGGGGGTCAATGGGATTTGAAGCCAGCTGGAGCAACAGCAGGTGAGGAAACTGGTTTGGAAGGACAAGAGTGATGGTCATTGCTGGGGAGGGGATTGGGCAGAGCTGCTCTGTTCCTGTGAGCTGCTGTGTGGGACATGGCTGTGGGAAAAACTGAAAATCCTCCTTCAGTCAGCAGGATCCTACCCCTCTAGCATGGGATATGAACCTCCTAAGTGGGCACACAGGGTTATGATTTTCCTACCTCTCCCCCTGCTTTCCTGGATCAAAGACAGACAGGGAATTTCTTGATCAGGGGATGAACCTCATTGCTCTTCGGCTCCTGTGCCTGCCTACAGATGCAGAAGAAATAAATAATTTTCCTAGTTTGTTTTGCATTGAAATTATTTCCTTTTGCTCCCAGTTCCCACAATGCCCACTGGCAGCTGTGCAGGGTGGTAGGTGGTGTGGTGGTGGCCTCCTGAGCCTACGATGTATCTGAGATGAACATGAGCATGGGACAACCCACGTACGTGAGACATGCAGCTATCCCCGAGATAGGTGTTGGCTTGAAGACAAGCAAGAGAGCATCGGGAGGTTCTGTTTGCTCAGGGAGGTGCCTAGAAAGCCTGTCAGCCTGCTCCTGGTGGCAACGACCCAAGTTATTTCCCTTCAGATGGTGCATAGCTGTCCTGCTGGCAGCTATCCCATTTGGATCATGCCAAAACAGCCCGATTCAGGCACAGAGTGAAACATCACCCGAAACTTGTGGGCATCACACCTGGTCCTCACCTGCGTGAACGAGAGGGCACCAATGTTTACCCAGAGGCAGAGGCAAAGCAAACATCCTTGTGCTGTCCCTAAAACCCCATATAAGGACTCCTGTCCAAAGTTGTGCTCCTCCCTGGTGTCACTTCAATACACAAACTGCTTTTACTCCTTATTTATAGTCTAACCAGGCACGAGGAAGTTTGCAGGGTGATTCAGCTGGGTTAACCTGCCCCAGTCCCCTCCCTCGGGACCATGGAGGGGACAACCTGCTGCTGAATCATTCCGGGAAGGAGTAGACTGCCCAGACACTATGGGGACCATTTTGGCCCAGGTCTTATAATTCGAATAATTATTATAAATATTTATTATTTCTAATACCTAAGAGCTTTAATATTATTCCTCATAAGGATTATTCTATTCATTGTTTTACTACCACTCATTTCAACACCAGTCCTGCCCAGGAAGCCAGTGGCTTCAGGGGACAAGTCTGTTCAAGATACAGTTAAATGATGATGCGTGTACAAGCATTTTTCTCCCTTTTGCTAAAATCCAGGGAAGCACAAGGGTGACAGTGCTGGTGTGGGCACCACCATGTGGAGTTTGGTCTTGCAGGAGCAGGGATGCAGTTCAGGGCAACCGATGGGGATCTTCTCCATAATCCTCCCTTTTCCTTGCATTCTTCTACTTCATTCAAGTTTAAATTTTGCCTTCTTCCTCCAAAAAAATCTACTTTTGCTTGGTAGTGAAGAGCCAGCCATGAGTTCCCAATTGCCCTTGACATTGGTGGCTCCATGAGGATCGTCACCACCGTGAAGGAGCTGGGGACAGGGACAAGTTTGGGCACCTGAAGAGTGGATTTGCCTTGGGAAAGTGTCACCCCCCACGCCATCCCCCAGTGACCCCGCTGAAGAAGGACCCCATGATCTAGATGCGAGACATATGGTCTGGAGGTGGAACACATCTCTGCGGAACTTACAGAGCTGGTTATTACCAAAAAACAGGGAAAATGTGCAGTTGGCTACCTGGCAAACTCAACGTCTCTCCTGTGGACAAGGGAACCAATCCAGCACCTCATTAGATCCCACCACAATGGGTTCCCCAGAGAGGTGGGTGCTCTCAGGTGTTGCCAATTGCCCTTATGGGAGGTGTGCTGAGCATCACCTGGGGTGGGAGTGGCTGTAGGAGATGGGGGCTATAAAAGGTCCCTTGGCAGCAGCTATTCCTTATGCTAGACCCTGGTAGGCAGGATGAAGCCTAGAAGCAGCCTGGGGTTTGTGCTTTTCTGCTGGATATTTGGGGAGGTGCTTGCTTATGACCCTTGGGGCTTTCCTAGAGGGGATGCAGAGCTGTGGAGGTATGAAGGGGATCATTCCTTAGGGTGGTCCCGTACTTTCTCCCAGTCCTCTCCCTGGGCATGGGTGGATGTGTCCCAGCTCCAGGCTGCAGCCCCGCTGCACCCCGTGGTCGTGCAGTGCCAGGAGGCACAGATGCTGGTCACAGTGCATCGGGATCTCTTTGGCATGGGGCGCCTGGTCAGGGCTGCGGAGCTGACCCTGGGCTCTGCCGCCTGCCTGCCTGTGGCCCAGAGCCCTGCTGAGGGCACAGTGACCTTCGTGGCTGGACTGCACGAGTGTGGCAGCACCCTCCAGGTAAGGCTTTAGGGGGGCTGGAGCCCTGGGGGGAGGGCGGGTCTGCCTCTTGGCTTACACCTTGGTGCCTTGGGATGCTGACGCTGGCAGGAGTTGCGGTGTAGTTGGGCTCAGGGAAACGCTCCAAAGCCTTTCCTAGAGGCTTAGCATCTCAGTCTGCATTTCAAGGTCAGCAGAAGCCGTGCTGTCCAGTCCAGGGACTAGCTCTGAAGTTGTGCGAGCAGGGGAGGGCATGCAAGAGGCAGAGACATTAGTTTTTTCCTGATGAATACAGAGGTATCTAAATCTTCCAGGACTACTTAAGCTGTTGCTGCCACCTTCAGGGTGGAGCCCAAATGACCTGATGCTGGGAGCCACTGCAGTGAGACAGCAGTGGATGCTTACCTCGGGAGGCATTTCCCTGGGTATAGCACGAAGCTACTTCACAGAAAACTTAAATCTGAAGTGATCTCTCTCCTAGGAGAGGCTTGGGGCCGTGAGGGTGAGCAGGTGTCCGTCCCCTAGCCCCCCCCCCCTCCCTACCACCCAGCAAGTATCTTCATTAAATCCCCCTAAAGAGAAGTCACTCTCTGATACCCTGAGGGACAGAGCTTCTGGCTGTTGTTCTGGGGTATGGAAACTAGAAGGAAAAAACACCTTTAAGCACCTCTGCATATGTTTCTGCTGCTGACCAGAGGCTGTCCTGGGTCAGGCTGAAGCAGCTTCCCAGGCCAGAGCATCCCTGGATCAGGACAAGTGCCACTTGCTTGCCTCTGGTGCAAATGCTACTGGCTGATGATCAGAAGAAACATCTCAGTATTGTCTCCATGCTTAAATGTGCTGCTCTGTGTTCATGGCCAAGGAACAGGGCTATTAATGACCAGATAATGTGTCTTGTCTTTTCCCCAGGTGACCCCTGATGCTCTAGTCTACAGCACAAGCTTAAATTACAAGCCAGTTCCTGCTGGCAACCCTGTCATCATCCGCACCAGCCCTGCTGTGGTTCCTATTGAGTGCCACTACCCGAGGTGAGCCAATGCAGACAAGTGCCAAGCAAACCATTCTGCTGCCCCTGAGAATTTAACTATGGGCATCTCTTTCCAGGAGGTACAACGTGAGCAGTGATGGTGTCAAGCCCACATGGGTGCCTTTCCGCTCCACCCTGTCCTCTGAGGAGAAGCTACCCTTCTCCCTGCGCCTCATGAATGGTAGGTTTTGGGTGAGGGTCTCCTCTAGTGCAGGGCACCCTGAGGTGACCATGCTGCCACAAGATGGCACAGCTGGTGCTGGTATCACCCCTGTGCTCCTGGAGCAGCTGGGGTTTGGTACTGGTTTGGTGAATACCCAGGGGCTTATGCCTGTTGGGGTTTCTGTGGGTGGAAGCAGTGAAGCACAAGCTGCCTTCCCATTCATAAGCGCCTGGTGACTTGTCTTCCAGATGACTGGAGCGCTGAGAGACTCTCCACCATATTTCAACTGGGAGAAGTCCTCCACTTCCAAGCTGGTGTCAACACCGAGAACCATGCACCTCTGAGGCTCTTTGTGGACAACTGTGTGGCTACCCCGAGCCCAGACAGGAGCTCTTCTCTCCAGTATGCTTTCATTGACTTCAGTGGGTAAGACCTGGCTGTGCTGTTATTTAGGGAGGTGTTTCTGCAGGTTATGGATGTCTGGCAGTGGCTTCCTGCTGGCCCTTGCTTCTGTGTCTAGGTGCCTGGTGGATGGGCAACTGGATGATGCCACCTCGACTTTTATATCCCCAAGACCCAGGCCAGATGTGCTTCAGTTTGCAGTAGATGCATTCAAGTTTGCAGGAGACTCCAGTGATCTGGTAAATATATACCAAAATAAGTGTACTCCCTTGTCTAGATGGGGTTATAGCCTTAGTCTGTTAAGAAAGCTAATGTGGCTTTGTCTAGAATTACATTCTCAAGACAACTGCCACATAGCAACCTATGAATGCAGTCACCCTGTATTACTGCTCCTTGATCATGGCCCTCTGAGCTAAGGATCTTCCTTGGAAACCAGTTCCGGTACTGGTCAACACAAGCCCTTCTGATGGGCTTCAGTAGCTGAATCCTTAATTGGCCTGAAGGAAGTAGAGGGGCTTGAGCTGCCCTGGGGAGTTGGTGGTCCCATTGGAGACTAAGTTCATGATGCATGGGAAAGCCATAAAGGCAAATGACAGCCTAACCCCTCTGCTCTGTCTGGCCTCCCCAGATCTACATTATCTGCCACCTGAAGGTCTCTATGGCTGATCAAGCTCCAGACCCTTTGAACAAAGCTTGCTCCTTCAACAAAGCCAGCAATCTGTGAGTAGTTGAAACAGAAACTTGCCCAAGGGTGAAGAGTTTGGGCTCACCATCTGGTGTGCCACCTTCCAGGAAGGTGGGGTTGGTCTTCTGGCTTGGGAGGGTTTTGGTCTCTCCTAGCAGGCCCTGAAACATGTGAGGGGTTCCTATCAGAGTGGGCTGGTCACCAGGCTCTCTTCCAGCTGGGCCCCTGTGGAAGGCACCTGGGATATCTGCTCCTGCTGTGAGATGAGGAGCTGTGGCTTGGCCAGGCACTCCAGGAGGCTCCATGCTCCCTCACGATTGCAAGGAGGACGTGCCCGGAGAGAACTGCCCTCCCAGTTTGGTATGTCTCAGTGTGCCTCCTGGTCTGTCACCCCCATACTAACTTGCTCAGAGCTGGTGGCTGGAGCTGCCTCGCTACCCATTGGCTCCTCAGTGCTAACCCAAGACTGGGAAGAGCTTAGATGTTCAGGTAAGTTTGAGTGCCCAGAGGTCTTCCCTTTCAGATCCCTTGGTGAAAGAAGCAGATGTTGTGGTTGGACCTCTCTTTATCCACAGTCGGCAGGATCACCCAGTTAGGAGGATGCCTTCACAAGGTAGGGCAAACCCAGGGAAGGGGGATAGTTTGTGTGGCAGGTCCTGGGTCTGCCCATAACCACCTCTTTATTTCTCCTTCCCAGATGCA